GGTTTGGGGTTCAGGGGTTTAAAGTTAAGGGTTTAGAGATTTTAAGACTTTTTCGGGCTTCTGACAGCAAGGTTTTTAGCCCTCACGCACAGGCATTACAAGTTTGGGGTTGGGGCCCTAAACCCTAAACCCCAAGCCCTAAACCCCTAAACCCCTAAACGCCCGAACGCCTAAACCGTAGAACTCTGGGTTTCAGCCCGGTGACCTACAGCTGACAGCGCACTGCCCATGCCATGAAAACAGCCACAGGGCACAAGCGTATAAAAATGATGGCGGGAAATGTAGAACCCACTTGCTGAAGACCATACATACACAAAAGGCGCGAACACGATACAGGGGACTAATGGCTTTATGAGTCTTTCAAGCCACTGATCTGATAAAGCCCTGTACAGCTTTGATAGGACCCTTTACAGGATCTGTCAGACATGCTCTAAATTGAACCCGAACACAAGCCCCTACTGTTCCGCGGTATAGTACCATTCAGCCGGCCTCCTCTTCACAAACTATCCGAAGCCCCGAACAGCACCCTTTTCGAGACACGGGTATAACCCTACGAAGCCGCGTTACCCTAGTAGGCACGCCTACCCTAAACCCTTACACCCCTAAACCCTAAAACCCTCAACCCCTAGATCCCTAAACCCTGACTAAGCCCCTAAACTTCTAAACCCTAAAACCATAAACTCGTAAACCCCCAAAACCTTGAACCCTAAACCCTAAACTCCCAAACCCTAAACCCTTCAAAGGCTCCCGGTAAAGGAACCCTTAAACCCCTCAACCCCCAACCATTCCTGACCCTAAACCCTAAACCCTAAACCCTAAACCCTAAAATTCCTGCCTCGGGAGTCCCACTCCTTCTGGAACTGCCTCGCTTTCTCGGCCGTCGCATCGCTGAAGCCGTCCAAGTGGGCTGGGCGATACCTGAGCTCTAGTATTGGGCTTGTGGGCTTGAAGGTTTAGGGTTCTAAGGTTCTGGGCTCTGGACTTTAGGTTTTGGTTTCTGGATCTTGGCTTTGATTTCTTGGGTTTGGTCTTGAGCTAAAGGCTTTGCTGCTGCTGCCCTGCGTTGCGGGTTTAGGATTGCGGGGTCAACCTTCTGGATTGAGAAATAAGGCTTTAATTTTGGGGCCTTAGCAACTACAACAGGGTGTTGGGGGCCATTATTAGATTGATATTAAGGAACCCCCCAAAACAAACTAGGTCATTATTAGTTAGGACATAGGCCCAGAGGGTCCGAGTACCCAAATAGTAAGGTTTTAGGTCCCAAAATCCATACTCTGAATGGTTTTTGGACCTTGAAACCCTACTATTTGGGTACTTGGACCCATAGGGATAGAGGCTCCATGTATACTACTACTAAGGGATCAGGCCCTTCAAACCATGATAAGGCTGGTATTTTGGAATCTAACCCCACAATGGTAGTCTATTTGGAGCCTTTGGGTAAATTATGGCAGGATCGTGAAAGCTCATTCCATAATTAGGGGGTCTTGGGCTCTCTGGGCGGGGTTCAAGGTTCGGGTTTAGAGTTTGGGGTTTAATGTAGGGGCCTTAATGATCAGAATAGGGTTTTGGAGCCCATTATACAATAATTATAATACAGAACGCCCAAAAGAGTATTGAGAATGATTTACGCTCGTAGCCCCTATATTAGCGGGTCTTTACTCCAAACATTCCGCAACCCTAAGCCCTCAACCCTAATAAAGGTTTAGGGCTTCGGGCTTAGAGAGTCTTTACTACAAGGATCGGCGGTTAGGAAACCCTAAACCCTAAACCTTAAACCCTATATCCTAAACCTCAAACCTTAAATCCTATACCTTGAACCCAAAACCTTTCAAAACTATACCCAAAACCGTAAACCTTTAAACCCTATTCCCAAAACCCTAAACGCTATACATTGGCATGTAAGGGTTCGGGCCATGTTCTACTGGCGGTCTCGAATTTAAAGGAGGATCCTTCATCTTCGGACCAGGGTTTAGGGTCTACAAACTATCTATATATCTATGTATCTATATACCTATATACCTATATATCTATATATACCTCTATATATATATATATAAATAATATATATATATATATCCATCCTATAGTGCTTTCGGGGTTTAGGGTCTAGGGGTTTAGGGTTTGTGGTTTAGGGTCTACAGTTGAGGATTCAGTTCCAGGATTTAGGGCTTAAGGTTAAGGCAGTATAAAAGTTCTGCTGTTTTTGCTAACTCTGCATCCAGGCTGACAAGCCTGCCAACGCCAAACTACCTTTCCATAGATCTACACCACAAATGCCAAGCCACAAACCCTATGCAGAACACCCTATCAAAAAGCAATAAACCCCATGAGCAAGCAAAAACATCAAACAACACCGTTCAAACCTTATGTCATTTCTGAGCCGTATGGAACCTTATAAATATGCAGAAGATCAAATCACGCCAGATTTCAGGCAAGGTGCTTGGTATGAGATTCCGTGCTGCTTGGCAGCTGCGAGACGTAACCTCCGGGCATCACCAAACGCCCTTGAAACTTGCTGAGCTACGCTTGCGGTGATGTAGGGGCCTTAATAATCAAAATAGGGTTTTGGGAGTTCCTTATTATGATAATAGTATAATACACCCCAAACCCTATTCTAATTATCAAGGCCCCTATATTACGGATTCGAATTTGGTTTCAGCTGGCTTTGTGACATTCTTGGAGGCTGCCAGGCGGTACAATATACAGAGCCCAAAAGACAGCTGCTTTAATGGCTTGAACTGTGATATAGAACTGAGGGTTCGTTTAAGAGCCTGCTTAGGCAAAGTAGTTCTTAAGGAAGTGAAGCAAAGCGCCCTAAAAGGTCAAAAGTCTGCTCACATTGGAGGCAGGGCAGAGCCTGCTTATGGGTTCTGCATTGGTTGTATAGATTTACATAGGGTTCGAATACCTCAATAATCAGAATGGGGCTAGGACGCATACTGTAGCGTAGCTCTGTACGAACTATGAAAGGAAATTACGATGATTCAAACTCCTGCAATGAGGTTCTGCTTCAGGAATGTAGTTTTTCAGTTGCCATGCCTGAAAGACCTTGTACGTAACACGCTGTCTTTAGTCTGGCACTCACACCCGAAGAGCCCCCCCGACTACCGCTGCTGCTGAGCTGATAGGGGGTATTGGGCTGTCTTAGTGGAACTGAACCACAGCCACGAACCACTAAGAGCAGTTGAACTTCAGCGGTGTGGTCTTGGCGGCCGAGTGTCCAAGCTCGCGCAAGGACACCACGAAATCATCGTAGTGGTCCACTTCCTGAGCAAGGGCCGAAGCGCTTAAGCCGTGTCTGAACACCACTTTAAGGGCTTAGGGCTTTTGGGGTTTGAGTTGTCAGGGGCTTATGATGTCCATGAACGCATAGACTGAGAGAGTTCAAAAGCAAACCTAGGGTCTCTTCCACATAGAGCACTTGTGATACGGACCCGTCTACTTGAAGGTTAAACTCAGATCCTTTTCTCTTACCAAGCCCCAGGCCTAAGGGTACTGAGCTTGAGGATGTAATATAGGGGCCTTAATAATTAGACTAGGATTGGGGTACATTATACTATAATTATGATGAGGAACCCCCCAACAGTATGGGTTATTGTGTAGGCCCCGATATTACGGTTTCGGGTTCGAGCCTTCGGTTGTGGAGGGCTTGGGAAGAGCTTCAACACACGTTGCCGAAGGTTTGGCCGGGGGCTTCGCACAAAGGCTTTGAAGGTTCATACACCCCTTATATACTATAAGGCCTTGCAAGATAGAGCATTCCACAACCCTGGGCTCTGAACAGCTGGGCGTGCTGATCACAGCTTAAGACTGAAAGCGGTGTCTCTAATCAGTCCGAGTTTTGCGGCCCGGTGGCTGTGAAGACGAGGATATCCGGTGAGAAACACTCCAGGAAGCACATCATCTGATATAGTCGCGCCTGCGAGGCCCCAGAGGCCGGTTCAGGGCTTCGGGCCGCTTGCCGCATGGGGCCTTGGAGCTTGGGTGAGGGGCTTTCTTAGGGTTCTAGTTATAGGGCTTGGGATTTAAGGTGCTTTTTGGGCTTAAGGTGTTTTGAGGGTTCGAGAAATTGATCAGCACATGTGAGACGGATGGGCAGTGGCGGACGATACCTTTTGCAACTGCAACTTCAGGATACATACCATGTAGAGCCCTCAATATTGCACACAGCAGTAGAATAATTACAACCCCTCAGAACCCGGAACCCCAAACATCAAAAGCTTGGCAAACTGCAACCTCTCAACACGAGGCCGCAAACGCCGACTTGCTGAGGACCAAATCCTGCACCCTACAGGAATAACGGCTATTTGCAAGCACTGCAGATTGAAGGATATTGTCATGGCAGTATCACAGCCCTTCGAATTCGTCATGTGAGCCGGCACAAAGCCTCTCAACCCTTACATTAGCGGCATTAGCGACCGCCATAAACCTTTGGAAAATCCACCTACGGTTGATGGTGTGAATCCTGCATTGCCCATAATAAGGTGTATACCATAGTTCCCACATGGGTCCTTAAATTTAATTGGCATCAGCAACAGTAGGAGCCCAGGCCTTTAAACTCTACTCTATATACCTCTAGTCACAAGCCCAAGAAAGTTCTTCTCCTGAGGCTGCGCACCTTCCAGTCAACGGTGGCATGGGTGTTCGCCTGGGCTCTAGACTTGCGATTCAGTTCAAGTTTTGTTGTTTGTTTGTGAAAGGGAGGAGCTGCAAGCCAGTACTGAAAGGGTATCTTAGCCGGATTCAATGTGCTTCGGTGTTGGAAGCTTTCCGTATTGAGACAATGTCTACCTCGTGCCCTCGGTATGCTACTCCTACATGCTCATAGGGCTCTGAGGAAGAGGTCTGACCAGAAGTCCTCAGAGGGCTTAGGGCTTAGGATTTAGGATTTAGGCGTTTGGTGGATTTTTGGGGTTTTAGGGGGTTTTAGGGGTTTGGGGGGCTTAGGGTTTAGGCGTTTGGGGGATTTTGGGGGTTTTGGGGGTTTAGGGTTTAAGGGTTTTGGGGGCTTAGGGTTTAGCGGTTTAGGGGTTTGGGGGCTTTTGGGGGTGTTGGGGCTTGGGGGTTTACGGATCCACTCTTCAATAGGCGCTTCGGAGCATCATCCTTCGAAGTCAAAAGAGCATGGCTGGTATTAGAAACCTGAAGAAGGAATATAGGGGCCTTAAGCATTAGAATAGGATTTTGGGGTATGCGATACTATAAGTGTAAGGGGCCTGAATCATTAGAATAGGATT